ACCTTCTTTAATCTAATTAATTTTTAATTTATCGATAACGTCATGAGTACAATGATTTATGGTGTACGCAGTTTTTCATTGTACTAGATAATTTTTCTTTATCATTTTCAGATTTTAATTGAGGGAATACTTTATTGTATTGAATTTACGCTGAAATTTCGGCAAATTTTTGGGAAATTAAATATTAATATACAAATATTATTGGATGTTAATTGAATATCAAATATTCTATTGGATTTTTCTGGTGAAATTAACTGAAAGTCGGTGAGATCTCTGAATACTCGTATTCTACAAAAAAAACTCTTGAATTCCCGTGAATTATACTAAAAATTTGAATTTTTATGATTACTTTCCTCTTAAAATGGATTCAACGTCACTCTTCCAAGACAAGCTGTCATTTTTTCCCTGAAATTTCAAAAATTCCCAACAGTGTGGTACACACTCTGCAAAATTTTCTTTGTTCATTAAAAAATAATTTTTTTTTTCGAGGTACATTAAGGTCTCCACGTTAATGAACTTCCAGTGTTTCCTCCGCAATTTCGCATCGGGTGAAAACTGTTGTCGAGTTAAAGGGGATGAGGAGAAACGCAATTTGAGGGAATTTTAGCACAGATCCATCCTAATGTCTGTTGGGGTCGTAACAGAGGAAATGTCATTGCGTTGTGGAGGGAGCGAGAATTTATGGGGTTTGTTGAGTGAATTTACCCGAGTTTCCGTGGATTTTTGCATTTTTTGGCACTGAAGTATTTCGAGATTCATCTGGAATTCCCGAACAAGATGCTTTGGACATGCTTTCCAAATTCTTTGCTCTTACAATTCGAAGATCGTCTTGAATGGAAGAATTCCAGGAATTTTCAGAATCCATCGAACGCATCTTCAGGACATTTCAGAATTTATTGACGCATGTAACCGAAAAAACTGGAAGGATTTTTATGAGTGAAATAATTTCTGTGTCTCTGAATTTCGATTGGATGTGCTTTGATATGTGAGTATTATTATCTTATCAGCCAAAATAATAATATTGTATGTAATTAAAGAGCTGTTGTTTTTGTGTGCGACTGGTTCCCATCAGCGGCTTAAATGAAGAAACTTTGTTGGGGTGTCCTCGAAATTCAAATCTCTCAAAAATCACTCTCGATTGAAACACAGGACTGCCACCAGAGCAATCCCCAACTCCGATACTTACTACTTACTACTTCGCTAGTGATAAAAGTTGGAAGTTTCAACGGGTGAGACTGGAAGTCCCTCTTCCTTGTGCTTTTCATCGTTCCTCTTTATTTCTTTTCGGAAATAGAAAAGTACGTGTTTCACAGCTGGTGGTGGATGTTTGAGACCTCCTTCATTCTCAGTGACACGTAAAAATTCATCAGACGTCGGAG